GGTGTAGGGTGTAGGGTGTAGGGTTGAGGTTATAGGGTTTTCGGACTAGGGTGTACGGTTTAAGGGTTTTGGGTTTGGGGTTTAGGGTGTAGGGTTTAGGGACTAGGGTGTAGGGTTTAACGGTTTTGGGTTTAGGGTTTAGGGTGTAGGGTTTAGGTTGAGGGTTTAGGGACTAGGGTGTAGGGTTTAAGGGTTTTGGGGTTTAGGGTTTAGGGGTGCTGTCTAGGATTGTAAGGGATAGTTTTACATGTCCTGTCGGGAAAAGTCTAATTTCGACTAAGAGTCCTGACATGTTGGATCCTCAGTCTTAAAGACTTTTTTGTTTCGGCTGCGGACGGCTTCAGGGCTCAATGGTTAAAGGGTTCTAGGTACAGGGTGTTAGGACTCAATGTTTAGGGTTTTACGGTTGGAAGGTTTAGGGTTTTCAGGGCGTCGATTGTTTTGCTTCGTGGTTGGCGGCACTTGGGTTATCTTCGGGCATGCTGAGATTTTCGGGAGCAATTGAGGCTCTCTGACGAATCCAAGCCGTGCTGATCGTCGCTCAAAGCAAGTCGCCGCAAGCTGAAACCAACTTTCGCCTTGCACAAGCTGAGGCTATCACTTACGTCTTCAAGTCCTTCGGTCTTGCGCTTAGCTCCAGGTCCTCCTCACGCTCATTGCAGCTTCGGAATTGCGTCCAAATTCCAAAGCGTCCTCTGGGCCTATGTGCGGTCTTGCAGACTTCGCAGTAATTTTAACAGAAGTGGAAGGGTGTTCGGGGATTGGGTTGGCGCCACCTGGCTGATAGCGAAACCGAGGCGACATGCACACGACGGTCCCGGCAGCCCTTGCCATGTTTGCTGTACGTGGCAAGAGAGCAGGTCTTGGTTGATGCAGCAGTCTGCTTCTTGTGCATGTATGGGGAAATGCTGTTTCACCAATGCAGAGACTTTCACCTTTGCTGGCTTGCGAATCAGTCGTAAGCTGCAGCCATCGAAATTTCGATGTCATAAGGGTATCCTGTGGTGCCCGTTGTCCTAGAGACTGTAGATCCTAACCCAATCTTGGCAATACCCTGAATCCGAACATAACAACCGGCCAGGTGGAGCCCCACGAGTCTGAGCGTGCTGGCCGATTCGTGCGACAGGCGAAGACGGAGTGCGGCAGCAGCCCCAGAACGGCAAAGTCAGCTGTTGAGAGTGATGAGTGATGACAATACAAGGACGAGCAGCAGGAATAGAATGGGGAATGAGGATTGCACAGAGAGGGCTGGGCAGGCATCCACACTCGTACCACCTTCGCCGGTGCACCTCATGGCGGATCTCTGGTGGACCTCATGGTCAAGGCTCGGACGCACGTCCAAAGTCTCGGAGTTAATGCAAGCTGCAGCATCGCCGTCGAGGATCCGGCCGACATCAAGAGCCTCACTGCCAGCGCAGTGAAGACCATCGAGCTGAACGAGCGTCAGGCCTGAATCTCGAGACCATCCCAACCTTTTCCAAAATTGTGCTAACGGCATTTGGCATTTTTGTTTCACCGCTTTCTGTCTCTCAGGCCTGCGACGTGTTCTGCCTGCTCAGCGGCGCCTTCAGCCCTCTCACCGGCTTCATGGTGGGGGGATGATAGAGCTGGGGCTTAAGGCTTAGGGTTTAAGGCGTCAGGTGCTCCATGGCATACTCTCTTGATTTTGCCACTCCCTGTCATCGGAAATTACAGGAGGAGAGCGCCTACAACTCGGTCGTGAAGGCGGCCATCATCGGATTTCGCATGCATTTTCCTAGTCCTAGTATGCCGTGCGTTCGACTAGACAGTCGTTTATTTTCTGTCGGTTTACATGCACTATGCTTCCTTATATATGTATATACTTCTAACACACGCATCGATGTGAACATGTGTATATGTAAATATTCCAGGCAGACACACAGCCCGACCGAGCGTTCGATCGACCGATACACACTACGCGCACATAGCGGATATCTATCTAGTTTATGTCCCGCACCCCAAGCCCTACTCCTGGCCCTAAACCCTATTTAGTTTATGTCCACCACCAGGACATGCGTCTGCCCGAGAAGCAGCTCTTTGGCCTCCCGGTGACCTTCGATTTGCCTGAGGCCAGCGGTGCTCGGAAAACAGCGACATCCCACTCGCACCATGTCCCGAGGATTTGCAATATAAGTATAGCTAGGTACCCTACCAGTTGGAGTTCTATTTGCCTCGGTTGGAGTTTGCAGAGCGGGGATCCTGCTGTTGGGGGTTCTATTTGTTGCCTTTGCTTGGAGGCTGTATACCAAAGATCCTACAGCTAGTTTTGGTATCAGGACCAGGGTAAGCAGAAAATGGGATCCGGAAATCGAAGCAGGTGGGTATTTACAGCTTCTATCCGCAGTCACAAGTACGGCAACGCCTATCGCTGTAGCAAGGACACACACACATGACATGTAGGCAGGCACGTAGGTAAGCAGGCTAGTGGTAGGTAGGCAGGCAGGCAGGCAGGTAGGTAGGGGTGGGTACGTAGATCGATAGATAGATACATAGATCTGGATCTGCGGGCACCTGTGTTGCAAGCGTGCCTCAGCCATGTTGCAATCTAGGACGTGTGGGGCCAGACCATGGTGTAGTCAGCGATGCATAATTCTGCAGATTTGTCACTTGATAGGTTGATGGCATCAACAAGGGTGACAAGCTGCTGTGTCCTCAGCGGACGTGCACGTTTAGCATGCTGGGTCCTGAATGTGGCGTTTGGCATTTAGCTTGCGAGGCTGCTGAAGTGGAAGGGACAGGATGTGGCGGTGCTCGAGGCCCGAGGGCTATGATATATTTTTTAATGTTCTTCTATATTCTACTATATTATGCTATAGTCTGTGATGTTATGTCTGCTTCGCCTCCTCATCTCTAGCCAAGCCCTAGAGCACCGGGAAGACTTCGCAATGCCCATGGGCCAGGCCTCGTCCATCTGGAAGCCCAACAAGGCAAGCCGAGCCCAGGGTCCTGTCTTCAAGCTTGTTTAGGACAGTCACCCTTACTACTGATGAGATCTAAAATAGCAGTGGTTAGGGAACGTATGAACGGCCAGAAAAGAGGCAGTAAATATTAATAGTAATGCGCATAGTAGCAATCGCCATCAAGATAGTGAGAGTTGCACTTCTTTAAGGGTAGGAGTAGATACCAGCGCACCACGGTGAGGGACGAAAATGCCTCGCACTCTGTGTTGCGCGCACAGAGGACCTTACCAAGACTCCTCCATGTGTCCTCCGCCCCGGATGCCATGATTTCATTCCGCCTGGACTGGGGTATTCATTTCTGTGCTGGGGCTGTGGCAACAGGAACAGCGGTAACTCGCCAAGGTGGTTTGGGGATAGCCATCAGCTAGTCTCTCGTGCGTGAGTCCCGTGCTTGTACTGCTCGCAGGTGGTGGAAGCAAAGGAGTGCTATGGTACCAGCAGCTTGGTCCCCAGCTGCGCGACCAGCCTGTGCTACTTTCCCGGTCCATCTCTCGAACAACAGAAGATTTCCGCACAAACTCCAGGTTGTTTAAACGTGAACGGAGCAGTCTGCGGTTCATCTCCGAAACTTGCCGCAGCCTCTCAAATCTCGCAGGCCTGGAGCACCCGACCGTGGCTTCCTTGGTGCAGGAGATTGGCAAGAACCTGAGAACCAACTTGGATTACGAGCTCAGGCATCAGAAGGGATAGTAGCCAAACGCGGGTATCATAAGTATTCTTATCAGATCCCTGCGTGCGCTAAAGCGATCTCCTGCTGGGTTTGGCTTTCCACCAGCGGCTGAGGAAAGTACTACATCGGCGGCAGGACAGCAAGCAAAGCGCGAATTGGTAGGGGATGGGTGTGTCCGTTGCTGCAGCCGCAGTGCGAGTTTGGCGTAAGGCTCTTTTCCAAGATGTCGATCATCTTCACGGCAGAAGAATCAAGATAATGTCAATGTCGGAAACAGCTGCCGATGCCAGTTGAAATCATCACTGTGGATCTGAAGGATGGCACTAGCTTCGTGTTTTGGCACTGCTAAGCCCTAGACGAGCAGGAATCGTTTGTCGCCTGGCTTGTCATGCAGAGATGACATGCGTCGGAGTTGTCATCCACAAAACCTTCTCAAATGCCAGTAACCATATTTAAGCACAACGCTGAATCTAGCCTGGTTCCAGCAAGTAGCAACACGGAAAAAGCATTTCGCCCAGAGTCATCCACCCGGTCACGACAAGCATGAGAATATCCCGGACGTAAATACAACGAGTATGCCTCCCTAAGTAGTCTCAGGTCTGAAGCCCGGAACCAAAAACAAGCCTAAATCCTTCACCAGGAAGGAAGAACGTTTCCAAAGCTACCAGGCCCTCAACCCAAAAACGAGCCGCAGTCTTGGTATTGCTCATGTTAATCTAATATTGTTCATAAGAGAAATTATAAGACTTCTGCAAGACTTAAGAGCTTAATGATAAGTGGTCGTCGGTTTGGACAATTTCTGAGCTGGGAAGGATGCACGGCTTCGAGCTGCCCAAGTTTGGATACACCACACAGACTCCTGCCGAGGCCACCGTGAAGTGCTTGATCGCGGGTTCTCAAAGGAAGGGGTCTTGTAACATGGCCATTGTTAAGAGTAGTGCTCGTTTAAGCCAGATATTTGCAGCCCGAAGTGTGATTACTTTGTTCTGAATCTGGCTTTTGTTAGGGGCTTCGGTGAGACTTCAATGTGAGCCCCTGAAACCGTGAACCTAGAGGTCTGAGATGCTGATAACCTAGACTTATTCGGAGGCAATGCATCTCGGTTTTCGTCGCTTGGGGAAGGTAGGTTGGGGATTCAGGGGAGGAGCAGCTTGTGAAACAAATCGATAGGTTTCAGGCAGCCTCTGGGTCCAGGTTTTTTTTTTTTTGGGGTGTAGGGCGTGCAGAAAAGCTCGCATGCCCAACTCGATTTACCACGATACCTCTGTCAGTTCGCATTGATTCGTGCGTAGTTGTTTTTGTCACCAAGCATTTCGATGGATGAGCAAAATTATGGCTACTGTCTGCAAGCATTAGTCTGTTAGCGGTATAGTAATGCGAATTATCAGTACTAGCTGTTCTATGTCATTCTAATTGTTATGTCATCGCTGTAAGTTTTATTGTATTAGATGGGTACTACGGTATATAGTATAAGAATTGTTCTTCTTATTGTTACGATTATGTTTCTTCTTCTTTTTCTTCGTATCGCCTGGCTCACTGCGAGGGTTGACGGGTTTTGGGTGGGGTTCTGGGTTCAGGGTTCAGGGTTTAGGGTTTAATTAGGGTATCGGTTCAGGGTTTCTGGCTTCAGGGTTTTTTGGGTTCTGGGGTTGTAGGGGTCTCGGGTTTATGAACGTTGCAAAGCGAAGCTCGCGGTGGTCCTTCCAGTGTGCGGGCACTCCCAAGCAGTGCCTAAAGTACTTTGCCATGCATATTGACCCATTCATCGTCAGACTGGAAGTACCAATGTAGGTATGCTACGTAGGCCCATCGACCCTATGCTCATTTCCTATACTAACCCCTGGATTATGGTACTTCTATAGTAACCCCCTAAAATATAGCCTGATTATCATGATACTTACCCTTATTAGACTACCTCTTGTTTTACGAGCTTTTGCTTCAGGTGCGTGCCACGTTGCCGGAGAACAAGCAGGTGGCGAGCAGCTCAGCACCATGACGAGCCAATGCCACTTCTACTCCTCCTCCTACTACTACGACGACTACTACTGCTGCTATTCGTGTTACTGCTGCTCACCCCTCCTTCTCCTACTCTTGCTCCTACTCCTGCTCCTGCTGTGTTACTGCTTCTAGTGCTGCTACTGCTACTCTGGCTCCTGCTGCCACTGCTACTGCTGCTCCTGCTGCTACGGTCAGGCCCTCTTGGTCTCGCAGGCGGCAGTTTGTAGGATCTGAGCTGAGCTGCGTGACGGCTAAGTGGTGCTTCCAGCTCCAAGCAGTTAAGCACGAACAAGTGTTTGTCATCAAGTGGTCAGAAGTCCCGAGAAACTCCGACGCCACCACCGCTGCCGGCACCACCACCGCCACTACTACCGAAGTCATTGCAGTGACAAACAGCTACTACCAACCAATTCTAAAGCGATGGTTGAAAGTATTAACTACGAGTCGTGGCAACATTGTGATGGTTATGTTATTAGTAGTGTTGTGATAGGGAATGTATGTCGGATCCGTCACCGCTGTGCCCAGGTCGCATTCCAGAATCGCAACCCGATCCACCGTGCCCACTTCGAGCTTTTGATTTGTGCGAAGTTCTTGGTCGAAGTGCATTTGATCGCCCTTGCCGGGGTTTTCAGGGGTTGGCAGGAATGTCTCCATAGGTAATGCGCAGCAAGTGGTACTAAAACTTGACGACCTTCATGTCGAAGAGCCTCCGCTCTATCTCGGACTTGTGGTTCAGCCAAATCAACGAGGCTCAGAAGGACGTGAAGGACTCCATTCTGCCCAGACCTTGGCCTGGCTGCGGGGGAGAATCCGAAGATTAAGGAAGTGCTGACCTGTGCAAGGCTTGTGCACCCCACCTGTGGCCCCACCCAGCCGGGTGACATCGATGGCCTGGTGCGAATCCAGACCTATGAGGCCCAGTGAGGTACATACTCATACACGAATTTCGAGTTAGCCAGCACATATAAAATTTGGTCCTCGACTCATCGCGCCCGGGCACATCATTTCAGAAGGAAGACTGTGAGAGGTCTCGATGTGGCAGCAGTGTGAGCGACTTTGCAGGCACTTAAGACGGAGACCGAGAAGGAGTACCCAATGTTCAGATGGGCCTACCTGCCTCCTGACTGCAGCCAGTGTCCTGCAGCCAGGAAAGCCTTAACCCAAGGACCCGGGTTTTAAATGGAAAACGCCATGTTCGCAAGCCGGTTGCCTTGCTGAGGCCTTACAGCATGAAGATGGTTGCGACCCCAGCCTGGGGCAAGGCCCTCTTGGGGTTTGAGCCAACCTTCGAAGGAAAGCTCAAACTCCGACGGACGCTGTCTCCCAGCTCTCGCTTCTTTTGTAGTCTTGACTGCCGTTTCGCTGACGGTACGTGCATGTTTTGTCAGCGTTGTCATAGCGCCGCACAGACTGCGGGTGCCCGTGCCGCACGCCAATCTCTGAGGCGGGACCTCGTGAGGCAATCCAGCACATGATCATTCGGAAGCGGCGGCCTTTGATTGTGCTTCGTGTCGGATCCAGCACTCCCAGTCCAAACTTATGGTATTTCGGCTTACGGTGTTTATGAGTGGAGGGTTGCAGCTTTGAGGATCTATGAGTTCGAGGATACTTACCATACCCCGCAATCTCTGATACAACATAGGGGAGGATCCTCATCACACTCGCCAGATCTATCTTAGGCGAGGGCGTCCTTGGTTCAGGTTTTGGGGTTAAGGGTTGTGCATTTGATGGCCACCCAGCTCCCAGTGAGCAGAAGCCCAACTTCTGCTGGAGCGCTCAGAGCAATATGCTTGTGTCGTCGTATTGCAAGATTCGGTACGATTTCTCGCCAGATGCACGTGCAGCTTCGAGGAACTACGGAGCCACTCATTTCATCATCGGACGTGACATGGCTGGCAGGGGCCTCAGCCCAGACAACTCTGCGTCTGCAGCTAGCAGCAGCTAGCAGCATCCTGGGGGATCTCTGGGTAAGCTTCATCTTGAAGGCCAGAAGGCCTGTCTTTTGAGCAGGCACCAAGAGCACCATTGACGGAGAAGACTTCTACGGAGCTTACGATGCGCAGGACGAGATAGAAGAATGAGGAATGTACGACGTGTGTGCGGGTGTGCGCGAGCCGGGTCGCACTTGTTGCCAGTCCCCCTCGCGCAGGAGACGGGCAAGAAGTACTCCGCTGAGCTCGGTGTGACTGTGACCCATTACGAGAACATGGTTCCCCCGTCGAGTTGTTCCACCACCCAAGCAAGTGCTCGTTGCATTGTCCATGCGCTGTGAGCGCTCATGCCTAGTAGTTTGGACTTCTTCTCAGTTGAGTGGCAGGTTTTTACCCGCAGCCGACTATCAGATAGTCACTATCTGCTGTGAATTCCATCCGATATGGAAATCTGTGGCAAAAAACTGGAGTCTCAAAGTTCTCTTGCCAGGTCTACGTTGGCCCAGAGGAAGGCTACGTGCAGGACTGATTCTCCTTGATTCTCATCCAGGTGATGTCAATGGGAATCAGGTACCAGCGCCATCCTTTCTGTTGGCCCGGTGCTTTCATGTGGCATCTGTCTATCACTGCAGCTTCTGCCATCAAAGCATGTCTGCGCTCCGAACTATGCAGCTGCAAACCAGTCCGCCAGAGATAGCTAGTGATTGGCTACCAAGGGGCTTGCTCGGCTGATGCTGGGCTGAGCTCCCAAAGCTTCCATGTCGACACCTCCTTTGCGATAGGAACCCGCAAGAGGAGCTGCGGGCAACAACTACTGACTCTGCAGCTTTTGCAATAAGACGACCTAGTGGCTCCCGCGTCATCATCAGTAAATTCAATCGCAACGTGCTCAAAAACGTATAGAAAACATGTTTAACTCTGAACCTCGAAATCCAGGAAGTGAAATCCAATTGGGAGTAGCCTGCCCGAGCTGCCACTGGCCAGCCTGGAGTAGATGCCGCCAATTTGGGAGGCACCTTGACCCGATGCAACACACGGCTTACTGTTTATAGCGTCCCAGATGTGTTGATATCAGTGTGGTGTACTTAAGCACCCTTGAAATTGCTGAAAGAAGCCCGGGATTTGGGACAGCCTGCGTGCTGACTTCCTGCTTTCCCAGCCATGCTGCCATGCTTTTGTTTTTCAGAAATGCAGCAGGTCGTGGGTGGCGCAGACAAGGGTGGCATCCTTGTGAGACAAGGCAGGACTGCTTTTTGTTTCTTGTTGTTGCATCGGTTCTGCTAAAAGGAAAACCAAGGCCTTTGCATTGAGCCCGAAGCTCGAAACCTCAAAGCCGCTACGAGGCAAAGAGCTCACCTCGGAGCCGGAGAGCAGCCGTCTTTCGACAGGCCCGCTTCAGAGTTTGGTACAGGGTTTGGAGCTAAGGGGCCCAGGGTGTGTGCAAGTAAATAGAAAAGTAAATAAGTGTTTACAAATGTTACAGGTAGGTATATGTAACATGTTTATGTATATATATATATATACACATACACACACAACTTCGTTTTTACTGTACAAAGGACATGTGTGCACATATACATATATAAAGATGTACAGATATACAGATAGACAGACAGACAGACAAACAGACAGGTAGGTAGACAACTCTGTACATTTGATGTGTTCTGATGAGAGCAGAGCACCGCGCGCATTGTCGACCGTCGCTCTGTCCAGGCGCACTCATCCTGGAGAAGGAGACTGGGTTCCTGCTAAATAGGGATTTAATTCAAGTTACGACCATAAGGAAACCATGTTGTGTACTATAGACTATGGGTCCTTTTATGGTAGCTTACATTAAATGCCTTAACAACAACCCAGAAGGAGATGCACGGCGAGCGCATGAGATACTTCAGGCTGATGCTCGGTGCTCTCAGTGCAGAAGGTGCCCATAGACTCCAATATCCCTTATTTGAGGAATATACCATAACTTATAGTAGGATCCCTATTATAATATGATTTAAGGTATATTCCTTAATTAAGGGATATTGGAGTCTCTGGGTGAGGTGAAGTCAGGTGCTTGGATCTCTCCTGGCTCCCTCCAAGGAGTGGCACCGGGCCAGAGGTCGGTTGGGTGAGCCTGAAGGTCAAGGACGGGACCTGACACCGTATTCATCGGGTTTAGGGGTTTAGGGGTTTGGGGTTTAGGGTTTAGGGACCTGATACCGTATTCATAGGGTTTAGGGGTTTAGGGATTTAAGGTTTAGGGTTTAGGGACCTGATACCGTATTCAGCACACTGTTTCTGTGAATCACGGAGGGGGGGCAGCCGAAGGACAAGGCCATGGTCAAACGCAGGGAAGAGAAGAGGAAGCCACGAGTGCTGGCACTGCATGGAGCTCCCAGCAACTCCAACATCATGCTCCTTGTCAGAGACCATGCATCAGCTAATCGAATGTGAGACAGAATGGGCTTCTGAGGAAGTTCCAGACAGGACAGCTGCGGAAGCTGGCTGGTGAGGACCGCCTGCCAGCTGTTGGCACCTTTTGGTGTCAGGGAGTTTGGATCCGAGGCCACAAACACGACAAGCGCAGCACCCAGCGTGCCCCGCCCTTCTGCACAGGACTTCGAGTGGCTGTTTGTCGACGGCCCTTGCGCCTGGAAACCGCTGCCAGGTTCAAAGCTCATGAACCTGGCAGAGCGCCGCTCGACTAGCATTGTGGTGTAGGGTCAATCAAGAGTTTAATGGGGCCTGCTGCGTTGAGTCAATCACAATGCAGTTCACGACCACAGAAATCTCCGAATTGCAAGCATCCGTTGGGATGGTTTGTTTTTGTTTTTCCTCTTTGCCGGGGTGAGCGAACATGATATTTATTGACTTTGGACTGATCGTGTTGCTCTGACAGTCGGAATGACGACAACTACTGTAGTCCTTTCCTTGTTTGGGAGCTCTGGCGAACTCTCGAAACAGATAACCACAGATAACTTCTGTTCGATTGCCATGCTTTGAGGCACCCCAGTGGAAAAGGCAATCGCCAAAGACTCTCGTATGAGCATATCAAGGCTGATAGCATCTGTGCTGCTTGAAAGTTGCATCAGTTTGTGCTCAGATCATCGCAGGCTGTCCATGCAACCAGAAAAAGCTGAAGGCATGCAAGCTGTGGCAGAATGTGACAGACATAGACTGAGGACAAGCCTTTCGTCCAGTGGTACTCACATCCTGAGCTTTCTCCAGAGGACGCCGCAGCAAAGTGAGGGAAGAGGTGTCACCAAAAATCTTGCGGACAACAGTGGGTCCATGCATAACGGCGTCGTGCTGAAAAGTTTTAGACTCAACTGGGGTCAGGGCCGGGTTTTGTCGGTTTCCCAGAACTCTCAGTCCTCTCCCAGTCGTGGTGTATGTTTGTCACTTGAAGATACAGCAGCCTCACTCTCTTGCTTTCGATGGTTGCATGTGAAGGCCAGTCTACATTCTGTTGCCATGGATGAGTTGGCATGCGCGCTGCAGCGATTCCACGGTTGCGTGCAGGAGACGGCGGCAGGCAAGGGATACGAATTGGATGTGGATTTCGACAATGTCCAATACGAGAATGTGGACGAAGGCGTGCGATTCCTGGACGAGTTCCTCAAATCAACCTCTGCATGCTCTTACCGACTAGTACTGCGAGAGACTCTTTTCGCGATGTGTGTATCAGTGCAATTCATGAATGCCGGTGTTGCAGTACTGAGTACTTTGGAAATTTTGATTAGCGCTGCGACTCCTATCCTGGGTGCCGCTTGTCAACCTTTTTTCAGGTCATGGCTGAAGTAGAACAATCGACAGTCCCAAAGGTATGTGCAAGCAAATGCTCCGATTGACGTGGTGGTGGCATTCTCACAAGCTGGGACGCTCGTTGCCATTTGGATGGACATCCTGCGGAAGGCTTGGCTTGAGGTTTGGGGGTTAAGGCTTTGTGGCTGTTGGGCCCTAGCTTAAGGAATCACGGGCTGAGAGGGTTTTGCTTTTTAGTATCTTCACAGGCTATGGGGGGTTTCGAGAATGGCGATCCCCGAGCCCTGAATTTCACCAGAAAGCTGGATTTTGCCAGGCCAAGAAGCCGATACCTTGGCAGCTCACTGCGGCTTGGCATGGGAGTTCGCCTGGGTGGAAGATCTGGGGGTAAAACTACAGAGTGGTTGTATAGGGACCCTGAAGTCAGCTGATGACTTGTAATATGTTTTCACGAAAGTCTGCCGATCCGGAGCAGGCAGTGCACAGCACGGCTCACAACTCGACATGGTGCTGAGTTTGTTTAAGGAGTGTCCTCATATTGCAAGCTCTTCTTTGCGCAACGGTTTGTTTTTTCTCAGCCAGGTCCTCGTCTGCGGGGCCATGATTGATGATGGGCGCAGCTGGCCTCAATCCGTCCTAGACTGTGCATGCGTTGGACCTCTCTGACGATGAAGTTGCGGGCTGCGCCTCAGCCAAGGCTATGCCCTGCAAGAGCCTTTAGCTTCGCCGGCACTGCAACTTGGTGAGCACCTTCATTCAACCTGACTCTAATCGACTAAGCCATGTCCCCGATATCCCTACTCAAATTTTAGCCATCGTCTCTGGGCGACAACGGAGAAGGAGGGAGAGCTCAGATCAACGCCAGGTGCTTGAGGTTCCTATCCCTCAGCCGTATTCGTGACCAATGAGTCTTAGTTTGAAAGAGGCTTGGGGGAACATCCGGAAGGTTGAAGCATTGAAGCGTTAATTAGTTTGGAGGTACGAAGCTGCGATATCGAGCTATGACATGGTGGACTGGTAGACCTCTCTGTAGCTTCAGGTATGTGCATGGCGGTGATGCAGACCCCTGGGGGCGACATGGAGAACGTTGCCTGCCGAAGATGTACACAGAGCTGGAGATGCCACTTGCCCGAGGATCATTGCTAGCCTGATTAGAGTTATGGGGAGCTGGTGGACATCATCTACTACTACGACGACTACGACGACTACTAGGACTACCGCGACTACAACGACTACTACGACTACTACGGCGACGACGACTACTACGACTACGACGACGATGACTACTACTATGCCTACGACTACTACGACTGCTGATGCTGCTACTGCTGCTGCTGCCCCTGCTGCTGCTGCTGCTGCTGCTGCTGCTGCTGCTGCGGCTGCTGCTGCTGCTGGTGCTGCTGCTGCTGCTGCTGCTGATGCTGCTGCTACAGTGCAAGCGTTGGGTAAGAAAACAAGTCAGTGAGCTCAGAGGCACTCATTTTCTTAGCTTGCTCTTCCATGAGAATGTGGCAGAAGTCCAGTGCCCGCTCATTTTCTTACTATTTTCTTAGCAAGCATTTGGCAGGAGCTAAAACGTCCAACAATCCACCTGCCTTCCTTGTAGTGGGGTCAGTGTTAAGAAAACGAGTACTCATTTTCTTAACCGTGTTTGCGGCTGGATTTGGACCTGGGGCATGGGGCGGGGTCAAATCCAGCCAACAAGAGGATTATGAAAACGAGTACTCATTTTCTTAACCGTGTTGCAGGGGCTCGGGGTGAGTACGTGAAGAAATCAGTCCTCATTTCCATCAACAAGAGAATCAGAGCCCCGGAAAAGCACACAGGTAAGAAAATAGGGTCCGAACGTCAGAGGGCACTCATTTTCTTAGTTAGGAGGGGAAGTGAGAATGCATATATCTGGACAATCCAGAGCACTGGTTTTCCTAGCCAGTGTTTTCTTAAAACAGAGCCGGCACTGTACTGCTGCTACTACTACTACTGCTACTACTACTACTACTACTACTACTACTTCTACTACTGCTACCACTGCTACTACTTCTGCCACCACGACAACTACCACTACCACTACCACTGCCACTACCACTACCACTACTACTGCTGCTACTACTACTACTACTACTACAACTACTAATCGAAACAATAGGCGTCTGGCTTCAGCGAGGATGCATGGCATGTTTCGTTGCATGGATATCTTCAGATTCGTCAGGATGTTGCTAAGGGTAGTTTTCGTCACGACTTCGCTGCTCCTGACTACAGCGCCCTTAAAGGGCATAGTCTCACAGGCCACCATTTTGGTGGGCACAGCCCTTGAAGCCATAGATTCAACGCTCGAGGGCCATACGATGGCCAATCAACCGGAGGCTTGGTACACACAGAACCCGAACTACACACGTGAGCTCCAACAGTCTATGCAGGCCTGGCACTCGCAAAGAGACCTCACAAGAGGTAATGTGTATTCTGCTGGACAAGATTTGTGGTTCGCCAATCGGCGGAAGCGCGCTGCACCTTCTACCCCAGCCGGCTCAACGCTTTCTACACCATTGATGGAGACAGATGCGGCCCCAGCTGGCCATGGCGCAACAGCAGCTGAGCTCGGTAGTACGGCTTCGGGTTCGGACAATCCGCCACTTTTGAATCCGATGCCTATTGAGGAAGAAGCGGCCTATGCCACCACAGCCTCGCACCAAGGCATTGACATGAATGACAAGACGGCGGTTCAGTTGTGGATGGAGGAACCCATCCGGACTCGTCAAGAAGTACTCCGCACCATCAGAGCATAC